GGAAAGAATGAACTTGGGTGGTGCATAAACAAATGAACAAACAGGCTGAGGTGCAGCCATCCTCAAGCGCAAAGTCAGAGCAGGAGGCTCTCGCCTGGACACCTTGGGCAGCCTTGGCGGAGCCCAGGCGCTCAGACTGAGGCCTTGGAGCCACAGGATGTACCTGTGAGGAAGAGTAGGAGCCCTTGGGGGCCTGGCCAATTGCAAGGTTCCCTAGGACACCGCACCTGGCAACCCAGGGGAAGGCAAGTAATCCGCTACAGGGCAGGGATAGTGTGGACAAGAGTCGCCCTGGAGGAAGCCGCAATATTCTCCTAGCTCTCAGCAAGTCGAGCTGGGAGAACAAGACCCCACTGCTCTGCGCTGCCCAGCCAGGGCTGATCTGTCTCTTCCCTGTGCAGGAGAGATCTGCCCCCTTAGCAGGAGACCCCCCCACATGTGGAGCATGGCAGGAGGCAAACAGTAGCCAGGCTGAGCTTTGCCTAGAGGGGCACAGGGTGGGGAAGGAGTAGAACGCACCACCGGAGCGAACAAGGCAAAGGGAGCAAGTGGTGAGATAAGGAGGGAATGCAGGCGGGCGCTGGACAGAGCTGCCCCACCATAGGACAGTTGGGGTGGCTGCCCCACACTCCTGTCATAGCTACCCCAACTGTCCTATGGATGGGAGGGATCCAGGGGATTATGGGATCCGAGCTCAGCAGCAGCAAGGGGCCTCATGCGCTGGCAGCAGGGGTTGCTCCATCCCCACCCTGCCATGCTACCCATTATAAGAGGAAGTTGCCTATGAAAGTTGGTGGGCTTAGGAAGTAGGCCTTACCGCTTAGGAAGTAGGCCTTGAACAAACAAAGACAAACTCCCTCCAAATATCTAGTGGAATTCACATCACAGAGCACAGCTGTGTATGCAGATACTGTTTAAAAAGTGTCACAGCCTGGTTTAAAAAGTGCCAGTTGGGTTTGCTGCCTGGGATTCAGGTCCGGTGGCTCAGTCATTCTCTGTAGCCCTGTGCTGGCCAGTCATACAAGTCAGTGGTGTTTGCCACTTAGTGAAAGCCAGTCAGCTACCTGCAATGGGTATTCTGCCATGTTCTGAGCTATGGTCCTGAAGAGGCTGTGCTCATGAAGAATTTGTATTGTGTTGGACTTGAAAAATTTGGTAAGAGGTTTTAATAAGATTGTAAAAGGAGAATCACAAGTACAGGCAGTCCCCGGGTTACGTACAAGATAGGGACTATAGGTTTGTTCTTAAGTTGAATCTGTATGTAAGTCGGAACTGGCGTCCAGATTCAGCCGCTGCTGAAACTGATCA